CTTCGGGGTTTAACGGCAGCTGGCATCCTTGTACATGCAGTGCTGCCATCTTCTGTTTCAGTCCGTTATTACACTCTTAAATCCTACTACTTACTTTTGTGATCTTACAAAGCTTCAAACGACGCTTCGACTATTAAATTGGTCGTTGATGATTTTGATAGTTGACGTAATCGTGACTAGTCGACTAATCGTGGCAGCCCTAGTACATATAGTCCTTTTGCTCTCTATAGCTAATTATAGTGTGACGTGTTAGAACTCAAATTCTATCGATTCATCAAAATAGGATTTTACAAACCAGTGGTTAATGTCAGAGCAGCTGCTGTATGTCCATAAGAAAACCTCCCACCTGCTTGATAGCAGCATGTTAGCACTGTTGAAGCAAGCATGTGTGGATGTTGTTGTTTAGCACTCAAAACCATTTCATTCCTGTGTACACTGTGATTATAGACACTAGCAGAAAGTTCTTCATCCCGTATTTAGCTGCATCTTGAACAAAATTCCATCGCTGATACAAATTTTGGAAGTATATGTTGACAGTCGCACATGAAACAAACGCACTAACCTAACATTGTATTTGCAGGGGGGTGATGAATGCATAAATCAAAAGAATTGAGATTTGTAATAACTCTTTTTGAAAATATATAAATGTTAATAATCACTATTCATGTGACTATAATCATGCAAAGTTTCACTGATATTGGCCCACCAGTTAAGGAGGCGAGTACACGCAGACATATGCTAACATCATTATAATAACATTCTTAATGATAAACAAAGCACAGAGACTATTATTGAGAGATAAACTGACAGATAAACAGAAGCACGAGAATTTCCCTGTTCTCTCTTTCCGTTTCCCCGTCTAGCTCCGGAAGAGAACCAACCAACACCGTGTATTTACAAAAACTTGTACCACAGCAGCCGGGCCTGCACAATGGACTATTTAAATCACTTGCATCAGGAGGTGTTGCTGTCGCACCAAATACGACAGCTTTTGACAACCAAGCATAACCTATCATCACTCTCTGTAATGGACCAATTAATATGAAAGAGCAGCAGCTCCTTGTTCGCGTGCATGTGTGTGTGCATGTGTGTGTGCATGTGTGTGTGCATGTGTGTGTGTGTCAACTCTGCCTTCCAATCTGTCCTCAGAGACTCTCATAATGCAGTGATGGATTCTGCGAGGTTCAGCTAGGGATGACTACCTTTCTAGGCCATGCTGCTTGCTTAGACACCTTCAGCTTGCAGCGGTGATTTATGGGCTCCATTATGAGGAGTACAAGAACATATTTACTTGTGGAAAAAACACCGTAACATGCAAAAAGTTCTTCCATTGTGTAAAAAAAGAAGTAGAAAACACCAGAAACTAATATAAAGCTTCTCGCTGTTGCAAATTCTTCAAAGAATTAAAAACAAAAAAGTAGAGAAAAGTGATTCTGAGGATAAGGAACGGCTGACGCTGCACTTCATTTCCTGCTTTAACATGTACTTTTAAGACTGGGCCAATAAACAGCAAACATCGTGAAATGGGTTTTATTGAATACCAATTTGTATTCAATTAACAGCAGCATTTCCATTTCTGCTTGTTCTGTGGCACGTGAGGCTACAACGCCACGCTCAACTTCTAATTTGATTTTTTTTTTTGGTTAAAGTTTGATCGCAAGTGTTTTCTTTAACAGTTTCCTCTTGAACCCTTGAACCACAGGAAGGGTTCATTTTTGAGTCATTGTGTAAGGTTTCCAACACGAGGCCCCGGAGGTAACCCTGCCATATCAACAGAGACACGCTGAGAAAAGAGGATCGCAAAGTGCGGCAGGGCTAGGAGGGCTGGGTGACACTTCAGCCTCGATCTGCCAATCAGCTGCCACCGAAAAGAACACGGAGAGGGGGAGAAAAGGAAAAGAAAGGAAAATAGAGCAGAGTGCAGGGTAAAAACCCAGGGATCATCAGCTGGCAAATCAGACATGTGTGAGCTCGCACATGTGAGTGTGATAAAAAGTGGCCTTCGGACAAATCTGTGCTGTAAACAAGTGGTTTCTTTCTCTTTTCTTTCCCTGACATCTTTTATAAGCACTGCAAGATTTAAACAGCTGTACTTAAAATCCTTCAAGATACCTTGGAAATGAATAATCAGGGCAGGAAATAACAAGGATTCATAGCAGCCCTGAAAAAAGTCAGAACAGTGTAAATGTGCTGCATCAACAAAGAGTCCAAAATCCAAATAATGATGATGAACAACACTCAGTTGTTCATCATCATTATTTGGATTTCATTTCAATAGCTAATACACTTAAATCTGTAGGTGCTGCAGTGTTGGAAAGTAACTTGTAGTTTCTAAAGGCCACTAATGCATTAAGTAATGAGACCACTGAAGCATCCTCAGAGATCCGCAGCTGCCAAATTTACCATATAATTTGCACCAAACTCCAGGAGTCCGTCTCTAAGTTGGCTCAGTGCTCGCTGAAGTAAATGTGCAAATGGAGAGGAAAAACTGTAAAGCAGTTGCTGCTCGACCCCAAGTTCTGCAAAGGAGTCAAAAAGAGAGAAAAAAAAGGCCTGATTGCTCACGTACTTGTTTACTGGTGCTGATTTACACCCAGTCATTTACTCCTTACTGCTTTAGAGCGACGGCAAATGAAGTATAGTCACAGCTGAATTCCTTAAGAGACAAAATAAAATGCAAAGTAAGGTGGCAGGAGCAGAGTATGATGATGTTTACGGGTTACAGATAACAGTACGAACTAGAATTCGAATCTGAGACGTGACGCATTATATAGCATAGTGATGTCTGTTGTGCTAAAACTGGAGGCCACTCAGCAGGAAATGACATGAATTGATCAACTAAAACGACACGATCCAAGTAACATAATGGAGGGAGGAAAATAGCAGGGCTTTTTTTTTTTTTTGACAGCTAGGAAGCAGCGAGCTTCTTACTGTGATAAGGCAAAAAGTACCTGCACAGCAGGCTAAGGCTGGTGCTGGAAACTGGTGCTGGGAGCACAACAGACGCCTTTAGCAGCAGGTGCTGCGAACATGTATGATCAAAACAGCATCACAAGCTGCTCACTGCTCAATAGCAATGCTCTGAGCGCAGCATATATGAAAGCAAATTAACCTTTCCGTCAACTGTTAGCTAAAAAAACACTGTAGAAGCCACTGTATGGCAGCACACGCAGAAAAACAGTTAACCAAGTGTCTTTATATACTAACTACAAGCACTGTACATTTACCTTTAGTCCCCTAACCAGAACTGCTTTCCTGTACAATATAATCCACTAGCTTTTCTTATTAGAGCCATCACATTCATCTTAGCCAGCTGTTGGTTCAAAGGGCTTTACAAATGTGTCTCTAGACTCGTCTGAAGGTTCTCAGTCATCATAATCTATGGAGCTTGAAAAGAAAAGTGTCTGGACTTCTTTAAGTTTCCTTGAAGATGTTTCACCTCTCAT